TAAAATAATTAAGATAATAGAAATAAATGAAATACGTATTTCTATAATTAAAAATAACTAAAATGATTAAAATCAGCCTTATTATAATTATTTCTATCATTTATATTAATTATTAAAATAATAGAAATAATTAAAATAATTCAAATCAGCCTTATTTTAATTATTTCTTTTATTTCCATTATTTTAATTATTTTAATTATTCAAATATTAGAAATAATTAAAATAATTCGAATCAGCCTTATTTTAATTATTTCTTTGATTTCCATTATTTTACTTATTTTAATTATTAAAATAATAGAAATAATTAAAATAATTCAAATCAGCCTTATTTTAATTATTTCTTTTATTTCCTTGTGTAGGACCTCCAGAGTACCAGAATATCTTTTTTATGTTGTTCATTCATGGATCAGCTACACATTGCCACCGTCTCAGTCTCACTGCTTGTCTTAAACACATCTTCGCTTCTTCAAAGAATCAAATTGCGGCATGTGTTCTTACCAATTGGACTCCGCAGCTTATGAAAACCCGTTGCCACATCCAATGTGGAATTCAAGTGTGTCAAGCTTTTGCACAAAGTCATCGAATTGATGTTGTTACCAAATGCTTTGTAGATTTACACATGCAAGTCCAAAAATTCTTGTTGAAACTTCGCACTGTTGCCAATGCTTACAAGACAACTGATCTTTAATGCTAGCATTCCACTCAAAGTCGGCAACCAGATCTTCAACGGCATTCTGCACTTGCGCACTGACAGGATTTAACCCACTGCACGACACCATCTTTCTTAAGAAAAGCTGCATGAACCAGTTTTGTCCAACTCGAACTGGTTTGAAGGTCTTGCCGTTTGCGATGACCGTTTTCGGGGCAATGCCATCCAGCTCGATGGCAAGCTTCTTGCTTTTGCTTGCAAACGCAACCACTGGGTTCGGGCTGGTAGTGTAGATATTATTTCAATTATTAAAATATTAGAAATAATTAAAATAATTAAAATCAGCCTTATTTTAATTATTTCTTTGATTCCATTATTTTAATTATTTAATTATTAAAATAATAGAAATAATTAAAATAATTAACATCAGCCTTATTTTAATTATTTCTATTATTTTAATTACTTTAATTGGTTTGATTATTAATATAATAGAAATAATTACAATAATTAAAATCAGCCTTATTTTAATTATTTCTATTATCTTAATTATTTTAATTATTAAAATAATAGAAATAAGTAAAATAATTAAAATAATTGAAATCAGCCATATTTTAATTATTTGTATTATTCCTCTTATGTTAATTGATTTAATTAGTAAAAATATAGAAATAAGTGAAATACTTAAACCAGCCTTATTTTAATTATTTCTATTATTGTAATTATTCTAATTATTAAAATAACAGAAACAATTAAAATAATTAAAATGAGCGTTATGAAAATAATACAAACAATTACAATAATTACAATCAACCTTATTTTAAGTATTTTACTAGTATAACTAATTGTAATTATTTTAATTATTAAAACAATAGAAATACTTAAAATAAGTAAAATAAATAAAATCAACCTTATTTTAATTATTTCGATTATTTCTATTATTTTTAATTATCTTAATTAATAAAATAATAGAAATCCACCCCACCCCACCCCGCCCCACCGACCCCACCCCACCCCATCCCGCCCCACCCCACCCCACCC